CCGCTGGACCGGGAGGAGATCGATAAATACGTGGTGAGTAGGGGGCCAGGACGGGGAGGGGACGGTCCCCGGGGCCGCGCGTGGGCTGACGGTGCCCCTCGCAGCTCTTCTCCCACGCCGTGTCAGCCAACGGGCAGCCCGTGGAGGACCCCATGGAGGTCATCATCACCGTGACGGACCAGAACGACAACCGGCCCATCTTCACCAAGCAAGTCTTCATCGGCTACATCGAGGAAAACGCGAAGCCAGGTGCGTGGGGACCGGCGAGCCGGGGGCCCCATGGCTGGGACCATGCAGAGCCCTGAGCCAGAGCTGTGCTGGGGTATCCAGTGGGTTTTGTCCCATGAGTAAAATCTCCCCTGCTTGTCCCCGTGACCAGGCACGTCCGTGATGACCGTGAACGCCACGGATGCAGACGATGGGATCAACGTGAACAATGGCATCATTGGCTACTCCATCCTCAGCGAGGAGCCCAAGAGCGCGCAACAGATGTTCACCATCAACCGGGAGAAGGGCATCATCAGCGTCATCGGCACAGGGCTGGACCGGGAGGTGGGCACCCTCACCGCATCCTGGGGGACCGTGTGGCAGCTCTGTGGTGGGACTTGCTGTGGGGAGCCGGGGATGCCGGAGCCCCGTGGTCTGGCCGGTTCGGGGACTTGCTATCCCTGGGCCACCGTCCCCTGCTCTGGGGGTGTCTGCAGCCCCAAGCCCATCGGGGATCTGTACTGGGGACGTTGCAGGGGCCCCCAGCCCTGCCGAGCCCCAGGAGTGGGTGGACTGCCAGCCCTTCGGGTGGGCAGCAGGGACATCAGCAAGTGTCTGTGCTGGCGGTGAACACCGTGGCTGGAGAAGGGTGGAAGAGCAGGCAGGCGATGTCCCCAGAGGAGGGGGACACACCGGACCCCATCCCTGCCCTAACAGCGGTGATTTTGGCTTACAGACCACTCCCAACTACACGCTGATCATCCAGGCTGCGGATCAGGAGGGCAACGGCCTGACCAACACCGCCACCGCCATCGTGGAAGTCACCGATGCCAACGACAACCCTCCCGTCTTCAACCCCAACATGGTACCTGAGCCGCCTCCCGCGAGGCGCTGCCTTCCCCGGGCCATCATGGCACGAGTCCCCCTGCCCCGGGGTGCCTGGGACCACGTGGGTGACTGTCCCCGTCCGCTCTCTTGCAGTACGAGGGGACGGTGAACGAGAACGAGGTGGGGGTGGTGGTGGCCTGGCTGCACGTGACAGACCAGGACATGCAGGGCTCCCCTGCCTGGCAAGCCCTCTACCGCATCAAGAGCGGGGACCAGGACGGCGACTTCAACATCACCACCGACCCCAAAACCAATGATGGCATCCTGAAAACAGCCAAGGTGGGTCCTGCTGTCGCGCAGCTGCCCCGGTGCTGGCTGCCTCCCTGCCGGCGCTACCCGGCTCCTCTCTCCTCACCCCCCCCAGGGCCTGGATTATGAGACCAGGAGTCGGTACAACCTCGTGGTGACGGTGGAGAACACCGTCCCCTTCACCGTGCCCCTGGTGCTCTCCACGGCCACTGTCCTGGTGACGGTCAGAGACGTGAACGAAGCCCCCGTCTTCGTGCCCCCAGTCAAGAGGGTGGACGTGATGGAGGACCTGCCGCTGGGGCATCAGGTCACCTCCTACACGGCCCAGGACCCGGACAGGGATCAGAGGCAGAAAATCACGTGAGTGTGTGTGTGGGGGGTGTGCCAGTGGTGGGGGGCCGTGCTGGGGTGCCCGAGGGCCGCGCTGTGCCGTGCACCCCTTCCCACCCGGCAGAGCATCCCCCCCCCCCCCCCCCCCCCGCCCGGGCGGGGGGGGCGCACCCCCCGGGGCCCCGGGGCCCCCACCTGCCGCTGTGGCCTTTTTTTTTCACGCACCCGGCCCCCCAGCCGCTGGACCGGGAGTCGGTGCACGCCATCAACAGCACCTACAAGGCCATCGTCCTGGCCGTGGACAGTGGTGAGGAGCGCCCTGCCTTGCCCTTTGGGAAGGGGCTGCTGCCACCCGCCTGTGTCCCACTGGGGCTCCTGGGGCAGGGGCAGGGGCCAGGACCCCCTCCCCAGGCGCCTTGCTAACCCCCGGCCCTGCAGGGTCGCCGGATGCCACCGCCGGCACGCCGACGCTGCTCCTCCTCCTCCAGGACGTGAACGACAACGGGCCCATGCCGGAGCCCCGGATCTTCGACATCTGCAACCGGCAGCCCGAGGAGCAGATGCTGACCATTGTCGACAAGGACCTGCCCCCCAACACCTACCCCTTCCAGGCAATGCTGGAGCACGGCTCCGGCACCAACTGGACCGTAAAGGTGACGGGACAAGGTAGGTGCCGCATGGTCTGGCCCAGCCACCCACCTTTTGGTGTGGGGCGGTGGGGGACGCCGAGCGAGGGCCAGATCCCAGACCCCCTCGGCTCTCTGCGCTCCCCCGAGTGCAGCCGGTGCTGCCATCGCGCCCCCCCCCCCGCGCTGGGGACCTGCCACGTGGCAAAGCCCCGCACCAGTGCCGAGGGTGTCCCCAAACCAGGGAGCGGGGACCTGTCTCTGAGCCCAACCTTTCTCTCTGCTGCTCAAGACCGGCTTGTGCTGAGCCTGGTGAAGGAGCTGGAGCCGGGGGACTACAGCGTCTTCCTGAAGCTGACGGACGGGCAGGGCAAGGCGCAGGTGACGTCAGTCAAAGCCCGGGTGTGCAGCTGTGAAGGGCCGGCCAAAGACTGCGAGCGGCGAGCGTTCATCGCCGGCGGCCTGGGCGTCCCCGCCATCCTGGGCATCCTGGGGGGCATCCTGGCGCTGCTGAGTGAGTACCGCGGGATGGGGATGGGGACGGGGCTGGGGGCCCCCCCCTCGCCCCGCCACCCTGACGCCCGTGCCCTCTGCTCGCAGTCCTGCTGCTGCTCCTGCTGCTCTTCGCCAGGCAGAGGAAGGTGGTGAAGGAGCCGCTGCTCCCGCCCGAGGACGACATGCGGGACAACGTCTACCACTATGATGAGGAGGGCGGCGGCGAGGAGGACCAGGTGGGATGCCTGTGCCGGGCCGGACCCTGCCCGCCGGGTCCCTGCGGCACGCTCCCTGGGGCGGGCGGTGGCCTTGCTCCCCGAGCCACACCAGATGCTTGGGGTGCACAAGGCTGCTGCGGACCTGCTTGTCCCTGTGTCCCCCGCTGCGGTCACCCAGCACCCTGCAGACCCCGGTGCCTGCGGTGCCCCTAGTCCTTCCCGCCCTGGGTCCCAGCGTGGTGGTGCCCGTGGCCGTTCCTCAAGTGTTGTCTCCTCATGTCCCCCGGCTCGTCCCCACACAGGACTACGACCTGAGCCAGCTGCACCGGGGCCTGGACGCCCGCCCGGAGGTGATCCGCAACGACGTGGCCCCCCCACTGATGGCTGCCCCCCAGTACCGGCCCCGGCCCGCCAACCCTGATGAGATCGGACACTTCATCGATGAG